TTTATATTATAGACGCCTCTATGGCTATTCATCCCCTTCCATGTATACTTTTTCCCCTGTAATAACATCCTCTGAGGCCTGGCTGGAACCACGGGGACAGCTCGGCTTCTGGCTCTCCCGGGTCGCTGGAGGGGGTAGGTGTGCCCTTGCCAGAGGCCCCGCATACCAGCCTTCCGGAAGGCCAGGCTGTTAGATCCAGTGACCTGAAGTGGACTGGCCTCCAGTTTCCTCACGCCCAGCAGTGCCCCAAGGCAGAGATGAGTCATCGGCCCGCACTCGGCTGGTCTTCCCCGAGCACCCTGAGGTGGCTGTGTTTCCTAGCCTGACTGCTGGGTGTCTGCCAGCCAGGGGCAGGCTCTGGACACACTTAGCGGCAGATGCTAGAGAGAAGAAGCTACCACCTTGGCACCCAGGAGCTGAGCAAGAACTCTAGTCCCTTGTCACAGCCCCATGGGTGGGGTTGGGGAGGGAGCTGTTTGGGGCTGGGGAGAGAGGGGCACAGCGGCTTGCCCCTTTCCAGCGGAGCATGGTGGTGTATCTTCTCTCGTCCTATCCTTCTTGCAGTGCTTCAAAGTCCCGAAGGCCTAATGACAGGCCCAAGGCACCTCTGCATTGAAAAGCATTTGTCAGCCTAAACCGGTTTGATTCAATGGATAGAGCATCGGGCCTGCGGACTGAAAGATCCCGGGTTCGATCCCGGTCAAGGGCATGTACCTTTGTTGCGGGCACATCCCCAGTGAGGGTGTGCAGAAGGCAGCTGATTGATGTTTCTAACTCTCTATCCCTCTCCCTTCTCTCTGTAAAAAATCAATAAAAATATATTTTACAAAAAAGAAAAAAAGAAAAGCATTTGTCATCCTTTAAGTTCAACAAGAAAGTAAATAAAGAAAAAGTGAGTGGAGTTGGGGAGCCAAAGCCTCCCACAGCTCCGGTGGTGCTGGGCTCTTCCTTTCATTTCTCCAGCAGATTGGGTTACACCTTTGTTGTTGAAGAGCAGAAGTTAATTATTAGCTTGTCATGTGCGGGGTCACTCTGCTACAATAGATGAGTGGATGAATCATGTTTTAGGTTTGTGACGTATCTTCTCATTACCTTCAGTGGGAAGAGGAGGTTTGCCTCATAAACATCGGGGGAATGTGGGCAGGAATTCAAAGGTGACCGTGGGGTGAGGCGTTTTTAATACATCAGAACTGCGGCGGGTGGAAGGGAAAGAGACATTCCGTGTCTGTTTAATGTGTAACATATGGGTTGATGGGGGATGCGCGCAAGGAAGGGTTGGGTGTGCAATTGTCACAGAAAGAGGGTGATGTGTGCAGTGCGGCCAGGCGGGCTGAGGTGGCCAGGCTGGGAAGCTGGGGTAAAAGGTTCAGGGAATTGAGGCATGCTTCCGAACAAGGTGTCAGCTCCCATCTTCAGCACTCCGGCCTGTGCGGGCTGATTTGCACCCCCATCCACACAGCCACGAACACACGCACCGTGGCTCTCACTCACACGCAGACACACACACACGAGCACAGCATGCACATGCCTTCTACGTGCAGGCCCCCGTTCGCCCTGTGACACTTGGCCCGTCGGTCCTTGGCCGATCTAGAAATTCCTTTACAAGATAAAACCCACATTCCCAGGAAAACTTGAATAGAAATGCAAAAGTGTTTGATGATAGAAAAAAAAAATCTGCTTGCTTGCAGTTCTTGTGTTGGCCAGAATGCTACAATAAACTGTTGCTTTCCACAGCTGGGGAGGGCGAGGGCAGGCAAGAGGGATGGAGAGGGATGAGTAGGGAGGGGGTTCGGGAGGGGGGAGCCGGAGCTGAGGCCAGAAAACTTGAAAGGCAAACTCAGAACTCGGGCTGAGAGCACCCCTGGGGCGGCGGGGCCTGGCAGGGGGCGGAGGAGGGCGGAGAACGGGTTACCGCGGGGCGCGGAGCAGGCGGCAGGGGCGGGCCCGGCCCGGCCCGGGCGGGCGCCGGGCGCTGCCCCTTTAAGGCGGGCGGCGCGGGCCGCCGAGCGCGGCTGCGATTGGCGCGGCGGGATCACTGGCTCCCGAGCCGGGCCCGGGGGAGGCGGCTGCAGCCCGCTGCGCTTTGATAAGGTCCTGGCAACTCGGTAACAACCGAAAAGCTCGGCCATAAAACAGCCCCTCGCAGCCATGGACTCCGCGGCTGCCCGGCGGCCGGGGCGCCCGTCTCCCCGGCCCGCAGCCCCGCTGTGAAAGGTAGAGGTGGGGGCGCGGCCCCGGCAAAGCGACTTCAAAGGAAGCCCCTCCCGGGGCCGGGGGCCAGGGCGCGCCGGGGCTCCGCTCGGGAGTCCGAGGCGGGCGGGGGTCCGGCCGGCCGGAGACGGGGCCGGAGGGGCGGTGCGGGCCGGGCGGCCCCCGGGAGCGGCGGCGGGGACCCGGGGGGGCGGCCCGGGGCGCGGCGGGCGCGTACCTCCCTTCCAGGACCGTGCGCCCGGCCCGCGCCTTTGAAGTGCGCTGTGAAATCCGCGGCGCAGTTTTTGTTGGAAGCGCCCGGAGGACATTGGGTGCGCGGAGTGGCTGCTGGAAACAGGACCCGTGCGGAGCGCCGGGCCGGGCGGGGGCCGGAGGGGCCGGGGGCGGCCGCGGCGGGGGCGGAGGCCCGCTCGGCTCTTTTGCATAAAAGGGGCGGCGGGGTGCACGCCGCCTCCCCTCCCTCCCTCCCTCGCCGGTGGATCTCGCTCTGATCCCGGGTTGTTTCCCCGCACCCCCCCCCCCGCCCCTGCCGCGTGACTCCCCATGTTCCCCGACGCCAGGACCGGCCCGGGGGGGCCCGGGGCTGCCGCGAGCCGATCCGGGGGCCGGGGCCGGGGCCCTGCCCGGGGCGCTGGCGAGGTCCGGCGGCGGAGCGCGCGCGGGGCCCTCTGGTGAGTGCGGGGCCGGGCGGCGGGCGGGCGCCGCGCTTTGATGTGCCGGGCGGCCGGGCGGGCGGCCTTTGAAGTTGGCAGGCCGGCTATTTCGGGGCGCTCTCCCGGCGGCCGCGGAGGAGAGCTTCGGGCTCGGCGCCCGGCGCTCCTGGGGGCTTGGCCCGCCTGCCCTGAGCGCCCTGAGGGTGAGCCCCCTCCCCAGAGGGCGAGGGGGGGGCGCTCAGGGGAGAGACTTCTGCAAGTGGCGGCTGCGGTGGGGCGGAGATGGGAGGGGGTGCAGATGCCCCCCTCCCCCGGGGAGCGCATCGTTGCCGTGGTTCTGGGATGTGAGTGGGGTTGGGAGTGTGCGGAGCTTTGGAAGGTGGGATGAAAGGGTGGCGGCGCCCCCCCAGTGGCCCTCCCCTCCGCCCCCTTTCCCCTCCGCCACCCCCCCCCCCGCGCCCCTCCTCTCCTCCCGCCTCTCTCCCCCTCCCCTCCCCTCCCCTCCCAGCCGCTGCTCCGCGCTTGGGGCCCAGAGCGCCGGCCGAGCGAGGCTCAGTCTGCGAGCCGGAGCGGCCCGAGCTGGGGCGCCGCGTCCCCCGCGCCTCTGCTCCCGCCGGGCCCCGCGCCCCGCGCCCCGCGCCCGGCCCCTGCGCTCTGCTGGGAGACGCGGACTCCGCGCGTCGCCATTGCTGGACCGGGCTCCGCTCCCCGTGCTTTTTCCAAAGACAGAGCAGCGGCGCCGGGACCGACCCGCGCCGGGAGCGGGGTGTGTGCGAGCGCCTCCCGGGGGGCTCCGGCCCCGCGGCTCTGGGCGCGCTCTGTTGGACTCGGGCCGGGGGACGGGCCGGGGGGGTCGGCGGAGATGAGAGCCCGGCCTCGGGCCGTCTTCGTCTTCCAGGTAACGGGGCCGCTCCGCCTCCCTCCCCGGGGGAGCGCCGCGCTCCCGCAGCCCCGCCGCCGGCCCCGCCGCCCAGCCCCGCGCCCACCCGGGGCCGGGGGGACGGGGGCGCGCCCCAGGCCCCCGCCCGCCTTAGTGTGGTCCCTTCGGGGCCGGGGAGAGCGGCTTGTGTGCGGGCTAGACAGGACTTTTCTTTCGGGAAATGAGGCAGGCTCGATCGAGGTCAGCAGAGTTTGGGGTTCCTGGCGAGGACGGGGGTGCGTGAGACGGCTTCTGATCCGGTTTTGTGGGGCTCGCGGCCCCGGGGGGAGGCGGGGTGGTGGGTCCCCCCCAGACTTCTTTCTCTCTCAAAGTTTGGAGATCAAAGTCAGGTCTGAGTGAGGGGGTTTCTGGTTTGGGGGCGCGGGGACACTCCAGCCGGGAGGGGGCGGCATCCAGCGGGGAGCTCGGAGCCCAGTCCGCTCCTGGCTGGGCGGGCTCCTCTCGGGCCGAGGATCTGAATGTTTAAGGAGCGGGAAGGGGGGCGCGGAGGGAAGGGGTGGGTGGGGGAATGGGAACCAGATGCCGGGGAAGGGCACGTTTGGAGCTCGAGCTATCTGTGCGGAGAGCCAGCCGAGGGGGGGGAAATTCACCGAAATTGGTTTCACCTGCGCACAGCCCCGCGGCGGCGCGGGTGCGTGTTTGGAGTGGATGCTGGAGCCGGCGCCGGGGCGGGAGCGGAGCGGGGAGGCTGCCCTGAGCCCGGGGCCAGGGGGTGTTTGGGAAGGTTGTGTCTCACACCTCCATGCCCCCTCCTCGCCCCCGCCACCCACCCTCCCGGCTCCCATTTTACCTTCCCCGCCCCTTCCCCATCACCCCCCCAGTTCCCCCCCCTCCCCGCCCCAAGTGTGCCGGGAGCTCAGATTTCGCCTTTGAAAAAGCGCCTGATACCTTAGATGAGCACCTCGCTGATAGCTGGGCTGCTTGATTTGAATTCGAGGAGTTGAAAAGCCTGTTTACTTTCTTGCTTTGATGTTGGGCAGATCTGGTTTTGATTAGATCAATACCCCTTTTTTCTCTCTCCCCACCTCCCCCCTTCCTTTTCTTTCCAGAAAGGAGGCTCCGATGAGCCCCTGCTGACTCGGAGAGAGAAAGAGAGACCACGCTGATCGCTGAGAGGAACTGGAAGAAGAAGGAAAAGAGGGAGAAAAAAAAAAACATAAAAAACTCCCAAACTCAGCGAGAAGGACTGGCTCGCCATGAGCAGTGCCGTGCTGGTGCCTCGCCTGCCCGACCCCAGCAGCAGCTTCCGAGAGGATGCGCCCCGGCCCCCGGTGCCGGGGGAGGAAGGGGACACCCCGCCCTGCCCGCCGGCCGCCGCGGGGAAGGGCCCGGCCGCCAAGCCCATGCCCGTCTCCCCCACCGCCCGGCGCAACGAGGACGGGCTGGGGGAGCCCGAGGGCCGGGCGTCCCCGGATTCCCCGCTGACTCGCTGGACCAAGTCCTTGCACTGCTTGCTGGGCGACCAGGACGGCGCCTACCTCTTCCGGACCTTCCTGGAGCGGGAGAAATGCGTGGACACCCTGGACTTCTGGTTCGCCTGCAACGGCTTCAGGCAGATGGACCTGAAGGATTCCAAAACGCTGCGCGTCGCCAAGGCCATCTACAAGCGGTACGTGGAGAACAACAGCGTCGTGGCCAAGCAGCTGAGGCCCGCCACCAAGACTTACATCAGAGATGGCATCAAGAAGCAGCAGATTGACTCCATCATGTTCGACCAGGCGCAGACCGAGATCCAGGCGGTGATGGAGGAAAATGCCTACCAGATGTTCCTGACTTCGGATATATACCTCGAATACGTGAGGAGCGGGGGTGAGAACACGGCGTACCTGGGCCACGGGAGCCTGGGGGGCCTCAAGGTCGTGTGCGGCTATCTCCCCACCTTGAATGAGGAGGAGGAGTGGACTTGCGCCGACCTCAAGTGCAAACTTTCGCCCACGGTGGTTGGCTTGTCCAGCAAAACCCTGAGGGCCACCGCTGGCGTGCGGTCCACGGAGACGGTCGAGAATGGATACAGGTAAGACTGGCAGGGGGTGGAGGGCTGGGGCGGGGGCGGATGGTATGGGTTTGTGTGGCAGATGTTTTGAGTTATGTAGGGTGGACGGTTGGATGGATGTGCTGCTGAGGCTGACAAAGGTCCGTTGAGAGCCGGGATCACTGGCCATGAATGCTTTGATCTTGCTTTTTGTTGTTTGGGGGGGTGTGTGTGGAGAGGGGGGGTTGATGCACTCACACACACACACACACACACACACACACCTAAATGCCTGCAGCCTGCCAGTGCTAATTCAAACACTGGTGAGCAGTACTTAGTTTCCTGGGCCAGTCTTAGAGAGGGGGACTGGGCGAGGGGAGAAAGAGAGAGGAGGGGTGGGGGGACAGCAGCTTTTGATGCCACTGAGTCACCGAATACAGTAAGCACCGGTTTCGGAAGGGGCCATCCCCCACCAATCAGCAGAGAGTGGAATTAATGTGGCCAGGGAGGCAGCTGGGTTGTGGTGGAGACGCAGGAAGTAATGTGTGTACCCATTGGATGTGGGGGTAAGTGGGATCTTTTGAACTTGGACGTGAAGATAAGAGCCAGCAGTTGGGTCTGTTTGTAGAATCAGGTCTTGACCCAGCAAAAACTCTCCTTACTGGGGAAGGCCCCTTCCCTCTGGAGCCAGCTGGCCTGTGCACACAGCTTTTCAGTGCGTGCACCTGGGGGCAGACCTCAGCTGGCTGCGTTGTTGCTCAGGGCTGATGGAGCAGAGGTCTTGGCCAGCGAAGACCGGGGCCCTGGAGAATTTTCCCCTTTTGAGGCTTCAGTCCTTCACGGAATGGCCAAGTCTTAAGATTCTTGATCTTCCAACTTCAGACCTCCTGTGAGCATGAGTTTCTCAGCTTCTCTCCCTCTCCCTCCTCCCGAAGATTCAAAAAGAGATGGAGCCTCTTGTTTCTAGGTTGTTGCCTGTGGCATGCAAGGGGAGGGGGGGTGGGAGCCTGATTGCCATCTGAAAGACTTGCCTTGCCAGCCATGGTGTATTTCTCCGTGTGTTCAAGACTCTGTGGAGTTTGTCCTGGCTCTTCAGGGGAGGGCCTCCGATCACCACCAGCAGCCCCAGCAGCAGGGGCAGAGCAGCTAGGTCTGAACTTCGGAGCCCTGATTTAGGGGACGGCCAAGACAGTTGGCTTCGCAGGGAGGGACGGACGGGCTTGTTCTCCAACCACCAGGGGGCGCGCTTAGGAGACAATCACAGACATCTGGTCTCCACCTAAGTGGAACCGATGGGCTTTTGCAAAGGAGCATGGGATCACCTGATGTGGCTTCAGCATCAGTAAACTTATGGTTTCGGGTGGTTTTGAAGGAAGATCCTGGTTCTGGCCTCCAGGCTGGGCAGACCTGAAATGAGAAAGAAGGATGGGAGCTCTCTGAGCCTGGGGAGTCTGTACTTCCCTGCAGCTCCCACACCTGCTGCTGCTGCTGCTGCCCCATGTAACGAAGGGGACATTGCGTGAAACCTCTTCTGCTCTCCTTGCTCTCCAGGGTGGCAGTGGTAGCTGAGACTCCTTTCGGCCTGTGGTGAGGCGGCTGCTTCCCTGGGGGCCTCTCGCAGGGGGTCTTCTGTGTCAGGACCCCGCGTGTCACCTCCGTGAATAGCACTGTGTGTGGTTTGGGATGTCATCCGTGAGAAAGCACTGGGAGGCAGGACCCTGCCGTGACCCCTCCCCTTCGTGGGTGGGCCGGTGGGCCGTAGACCAGCCGTGGGGGGGGGGCCCTCCTCCTTCCACGGGGCCTTCGCTGGGACAGGACCAGGATGGAACGTTGGGGAGAGGACTCTTGTGAAACGTTTTGATCCTTTGTGTTTCCAGTGGCTCCGAACTGTAGGCACTCCGCCGAGTGGCACCATCCCCTTGGCCTCTTGACTTTCCGTACTGTCCTTCTCTCCGCGGCTGGGTTGAAATGAAATGTCGTACCAGGACTTCGTGAAGCCCAGATATCTTAGGCCGGGGCATTGCCAAAGAGAATGTTAAGCCACAGCCCAATTCCGTGTTAACATGCAAGGTGTTCGTGTGTATTTGGGGGGTGTCCCAACGTATTTAAAAGGCTGGGTCCCGGCTCTGTCTACCAGGGACTACCTGGGTTTAAGCCTTTCTGAACCCCATCAAAGGAGTGGGCGCCATCCTTTTTGTTTAAGTCACAGGTTGCCAGTAGGATGTTGTGAACAGAGGTCCGTATTAAGTGTTATAATTAGTGTGATTTAATCGTGTTAACCACCGGGTACGTGCAGAGGGCAGTCGGGTGAAGATACCACTTTCAAAGAGTGACTCCTGGGCTCTAGCCCATGGTCATTGGAATGTGTTAGAGCGTCCCAGGTCGTGCCTCAGCTTTCTCTGCTTGCTGAACGGAAGTCTGTTCTTCGCAGCTGGTTCTTGGGGTGTAGGGATTCTAGCTAGTTCCTTAAGCCTCCCTCCTAATTCACTCACTCACTCATCAGCAAGGTGCCTGGCCCACGGGACGGGCTTTTATGGAGTGAGGGAACTGAATGGAACATAAATAAACGAGTCCTGCTGAGGCTTTGCCTTCATCGGCCGGGGAGGCCCGGTCCTGGCAGCCGGGTGCCCGGCGCCCCGGCTGGTCTTCCAGGCTCTGTGTTTACCCTGGGCACTCAGAGGAGCCTCGCTTTTAAGGACTTGTTTGTGCCCTTACTGATTTGGTGTCGGGTTTAATATAAATAGTTGGAGCGGAAGAGCAGGAATTATCCTCAGAGGGAAGGACTCTGGTTTGCGTGGGAGGCCTGGGCTTTGGATGGTCTCTATAAATAACCCAGAGCAAGAGCGACCTGTGGGGAGAAGCACGTGGGAAAAGGCCGGCCCGTAAACACACCCTGAGGGGCGAGGTGTGTGCGAAGGGGGCTGTGGGGTCAGGAGCCGGGCCCAGCGTTTATTTTAGGAAGGAGGCAACAGTGCGGGGAGCACAGAGCCGCCCCCATGTCCTCCCTCCCTCCCTCCCTCCCTCCCTGCGCTGGCCCACGTGTGTCCCTGCCCAAGGCGGGTCTCATCTGTCTCTCTCTCGGACCCTCTGCGCTAGCCTTGCTTGGCTTCCTCGCTTGGAATAAGCCGGGCCCAGCAGATGGCCCTCTGCTGGCTCCGAGGGCCTCCTGTTCCCTGAAAGAACTCGCTGGTGAGGCCCGTGTCTGTGCGAAGCCATTGGAACGGGGCTTGGCTTCCGTTATCACAGAAAGTGATGCCGGAGGAAAGATATGCTGGAAGCAGTAGGCCACGGCGAGGGTGGGGGCGCTGGGCGGGCAGCTTGCTGAGACACCCCGGAAAACGTTGCTGTGTTTCGGGGCCCAAGTGCCCCACACTTCCCGTGCCTGCCCCCACCGAATGCCCCTGATCATGCCCAGTGCTTCCCGAAGACGGTATTGCCCTGTGGACAGTGACTTTGGGAGTAAATGGTCATAGGGCTTCTAAACACACGGCCTTAGAAGCAAATGATGTTTTTAAAAGTTGCATTGTTTTTTTGTGTGTTTTTTTGGGGGGTGGGGGGCAGAAGGAGGCCCCGCACGTCAGTCCTGCCGTGTTCTCTGGAGGGGTTTGCCTGGTGTTTGGGGCGGGGCTTGGGCCTGCAGCCTCTCATGCAGATAAGAGATAAGGACAGGCAAAGCAGCACAAGGTTCCCAGGCAAATAAGACCCCAGGATGGCTGCCTGACAGCCCAAAGCCCTTTGCACATGGAAGTTGCAAACTTGGTCCGCCCCTGTGCAGAATGTGTACCCTAGGCCTCCGCTCGCCCTAGGAATTCAAACCCCTGCCAGCAACTGGGAGCACAACAGTCCTGAAGAAACAATCAAAGCATCTGGGTACAATTACCGTAGCATGGCTGGGTTTCTTTCCGGTGTGTGTGTGCACACGTGTGTGTGTGTGTGTGTGTGTGTGTGTGTGTGTGTGTGTTAAAGTGATCCCAAGAAACCGCTTCAGTCCACATTTTTTAATTATGTGGTGCTTTTTGACAAAGTTTGGGGTTCTTAAAAACGGAGTTTGTGTCCCCCCCCCCCCGCCCCCCCCTCATAAACCCTGCCTCCTCCTTCTCTCATCGTGTTAGGATTGCAGGAAAGTCCAAACACTTTATTGCAGTCCCCTGAGCTGAGCGCGGCGTATTCGGGGTTTAACGACTGGCCACACAGGAGCCCTCTGTTTTGGAAGCCAAGGGAGACGCGTTTATTTTGGGATCCGTGTGTGCGGGGAGGGCAGCGCGGGGAGCACACGTGGGGTTTGGGTTAGGTGCCTGTCTTGTTTGGGGCGGGCGGGGGAGGCATGCCCGCTGAGTCACTTTCTCCCTGTAGAAGTGGAAGCACAGCCCTTACATTTGGGACCTTGTTGATATGTTAACACCACCTCAAAGATAGCAACACTGAAGTGGTGGAAGGGGCGTTTGGATGCTATTTAAAGCTGTTTTGATCTTGTCCTTTGCGTTTGGACTAAAAAAAAACAACGACTTCAAAGCAGCCCACCTGATGGTCCCAGGCATTTTAAGGAGGTTTAGCAAGGTTTTGTGTCCCCGCCCCGGGTCACACGCTGACCTCCGAGCTGGGGAGACAGATCCACTTGAGGAAGTCAGGTCGGGCCCGGCCCTCACGGAGCTTCCAGTCTGGTTAGCTGCTCAGAACATGCCTTCAGGGTGACACGCCAGCGCTGAGTCGGTGATGTACGTCGTGAGGGAAAAGCGGGGAAAGAGCTCTGTGTGTGTTGGCTCTTGGTTTTGGGGGCATTGAACTGACTCCCCCCCAGAAAACAGTGTCCTCCTGGGGCCTTTCGGAGGGCCTGAGCCCGTGATGCCGCCGACTGTGTCTGAGGGGGACACCCCAGGGCCCCGGGGCCGGGGCTTGCCTGTGTCACCCTGCTGGGTGGGCGCTAAGCTGGCCCCAGCTCCCAGCCACTGGGTTTCCGTTTCTCATCGAGGGCTTCCGAGGCTCACTCGTGACCGTGTTCCTGAAGACGGAAAGGGGTCCGTCATGCTCTGAGTAGTGGTCCCATCCAAGCACCCCGGAGAGTGGGGCCCTCAGGGCGACTTTAAAGACACGGGCAATTCCGTAACCTGCCCCGTCCGCTCCCTGGGTCCACCTGAACCTAACCACCTGAACCTCCTTAACACGTGCTCCTCTCTCTGGCTTAGGAAGCCCATTTCCTCTTGTTTTGCCTTTGATGCCAAACAGACCCTTTAGCTCCCTTGTCAACGAGGAGACTGTTTTCACTGAGTCACACCCCATCCCTCTTCTTCTCCAGAGAAACCAGTTGCCTTTTTCCCCCCTGTCACTGCTCCTCTCTCTAGTCCTGGTGCCTGGGAATCCCAGGTGAAGGACATGGGGACCAGCTCTAAGGCAGGGAAGATCTTACCTTCCTCATTTGATTGTCATAAAAAATCCTGGGAGGTGGTAAGATTTCTCGCCCTTCATGGATATGAGAACAGGGCCAGGGCACCCAAGGCAGGTTCCGTTGCAGTGTTCCCCCTTTGCACTTCCCAGTTGATAACACCTCTGAGATCTGGCTGTAAATTCCCGTCTGGTTCAGTAGAATGAACCAAGGTGCCTGCCAGCCAGGCTTCTCAGGGAGTCCAGCTGTGGGTTCCACGTGGCCCTGTCCTCAGCCTGTTGGCCACCCAGAAGGCTTTTGGGGTCCCCCCTCCCCCGGATTTTCATTATTTCCTGGATGTTTGTGAGGATGAAAGATGATTGGGCAGCAGATGCTCCATCAACATCAATGACAAGAACAAAGACCCCACCCATACTTAGTACTCAACTAATCGCAGCTCTTGGTTTTTATCAACATTTCTAAACGAGGGGGTTGGTTTAGATAATGTCTTAAGGTTCATTCTGACTCTAAAATATTATGACTCTGAATGTGACTTACCTTGTTCATGCTTAAAGGCTGGGACCATCCTCCTCCTCCTCTTCTGTCCCATTCGGTCTGTCCGGCCCCTGCCCCATTCCAGCTCTCATACTGAATTGTGGTAGCAACTCCCTGTCCGCCCCCACCCCTCCTTCCAGTCCAACTGGTGCACCCTCTCTCAGTCACTCATGCTGCTGGGAAAAGCTCAGGCCCCTCCTCTCCCTGCCCCTTCCTGACCCAATTAGCTCCGCCCCCTTCCTCCCCAGTCTGGGCAGGAATGCTTCAGAGAGGGGAAGGGAGAGGGAGAGAGAGAAACATCAATGATGAGAGAGAATCATCGATTGGCTGCCTTCTCCACGCCCCCTACTGGGGATCAAGCCCATAACCTGGGCATGTGCCCTGTCTGAGAATCAAACCATGGCCTCCCGGTTCATAGGTCTACAGTCAACCACTGAGCCACACCACTGGGCTGGGGAGGGCTTTTTAATACTTTCTCCTTCCCCCATCCCGGTGGCATCTCCTCGAATTCCTGTTCCCCCCCAGGGGACCTCACCTTGTCACCATCCAGCTGGAAACATCCCCGTTATCTCTCCCAGGATCGCCTCTACCAGGTCACTCGACTTACTGCCTCATGTTCTGGAGCTTTCTTAAACGTTGAGGCTGGTCTTTGTATCAGGAAGCAAACGAGAGCGCCTAATACATCAATCCCATGCCCCCCTCGTACCAGCTCTTGGTCCAGGCCAGGCTGCTGTGCTTGTGGGCCCACCCCGGGCACACCTGTAGCATGGGCACAGGGGCAGCTCCTCCCCACAGGTGCCCTGAGGATACAGGCGTGCTCCTCTTCACGGGCCTGCAGTTACACGGTCTACCTCCCTTGTGGTGCCCACTCTCTCCCCACCTATGGTGACACCCCCCTTACCAGGCCCTGGGTACCAGGCGGCCAGACTGGGGCTGGTACACCCACAGTCCAGTGCGTTGCCGAACACATGGTGGGTGAGCGGGAGCTCAGTGCACAGGAGCATAAGGCTGCTTTGGCCTTTCATGGGCCCCTTGCTTCTGCCAGGCCGAGAGAGGCCATCTTTGTAAGACCAGTCGCAGTGGCCTGATGGGGGGCAGTGGCCTGGTGGGGTCCGGCCTTTTCTCTGAGTCCTCCGTTCCCCTCCGGTTGGTTTCTTTGTCGTTGGCACAGACTGGGGGGGGCCCCGTGGAGTTTGTCCATCTTCGTAAAGGAGCCCCCCTGCGACTTCAGGCTTCCCGGGCCCTTCCTGCAGCCTCAGGACCACGTGGCCCTGCCTCCTGCTCTCCCCCGACATGTAAGGCTCTCGCCGGTGACACAGGAGCGCGGCCCAGCAGGAGGCAGGCACGCTGGTTGTTCTGGGAGGAGATCAAGAGGGCGACATGGGGCGGCAGAGGCCATGGCAACAGAAGGGGGGGACGCCGGAGAGAGGCCTGGACCCTCCTTTGGAACATCGTTTTAAACCCCCGGCCTTAGCCAGCCTGGGAGAATGAAGACTGGGGGGGGAGGGTGGCGGGGGGGGGGGGGGGTGCGGGCACACAGAGGCCCAGCTGAGGATGGGGTGCAAGTCCTAGACACGGTCCTGAACTTTCCTGTGCCATCTGTCCCCTCACGGCCCCAAAGTTGAAATGCGAAGGCCTCTAAGTGTTGGCGTCTCAGAACTGCGCTGACAGCTCCTGAGGAAATGGAAGACAGGCACCTTAGGACCCTGACATCCTATTCCCCGGTGCTGGCTTTGGTAGGGGACGGGGAGGAGGAAGACGCCCTGCCTCCACGCACTCACTCCCCCCCTTTATTCCACAGCCTCCCCTCCAAGACCAGAGTCCTGATCCTTCCCACATGGGATTGTGTGTCTAGAACTTGGTAGGGTCCCCTGGCTGCCTCTGGGGTCCTCCGTCCCCTGGCAGACCCTCCTTCGGGGGCAGAGGGACCCAGCCTGCTCTCTCCCCAGGGCCAATCCGTGCCTTACAGGCCCCTGCCCTGGGCAGCAGGTGGCCACGGAGTGAACTGTGGGATTGTGCACTGTCCCGGGGCCACCTGGCGACCGGGGTTCCCGCTGAGCCTCCGTGATGCACCGCTGTCGTCCTGTCCCCGCAGGTCCTTCAAGAGGAGCGATCCCGTCAACCCGTACCACGTAGGTTCCGGCTACGTCTTCGCGCCGGCCACCAGCGCCAACGACAGCGAGATATCCAGCGACGCGCTGACCGACGACTCCATGTCCATGACGGACAGTAGCGTGTAAGTATTCCGGTGTCCCCGCCATGCACATGGCCGGCATGTGATTCGCAGGGCCCGCCGGCCAGAGTCCTCGGCCGTCCTCTCCTGGCTTTGCAGATCCCATCTGCGGACATGTGTTGGGTGGTGGAGGAGGGTGACACGGCAGGTGGGGTGGTGCTGAGCTGAGAGCCTCGAAGGGAAGGTGGGGTGGGTTGGTACCTTCACAGAAGAAAAGTGAGGTCACGTGGACGGTGAAGACGAAGATCTGTACGTTCCTTGGGTGTCACAGCACATCTTTCGGTTGTCAGTGTGCCTGCCTTCCCCGTGGGCAGAAGTGCTGGGTTGGCCTCGAAAGCCAGGTTCCATGGGACCAACAGGTGGGGGACAGGGTGGCATCAAGAGGGTTTGTGTTTAGCTCATTGTGTTTGAAGGAAAAGGCATGGAAGGAGATGGCAGGAGATGGGGATCCCAGTCCACCACACACACACACACACACACACACACACACACACACACACAATGACATTCACATAGAATGCATGTCAAAAAGTGTCAGTTTCCCTCATGAATGTGCTCACATGGACATCCTTCAACTGAGTAAGTCTCGGCGGGATGCCTGCTCTGTGTCGGGTCGGGGTTCTAATCCAAGTTTGGGTTCCCTCCACCGTCCAGTCTGACCTTGGCTCTTTTGCAGGTGGATGGCTTTGGTTTCTGAAAGCCTTCAGGTCATCCGGGTGGCCCGCTGAGGGCAGCAGGGCAGCGGGCGGGGTCATGCTGTGAGCTTCAGGTCATTGGTGGTCATGCATTGGTGATGTCTGGATGGCGAACAGCATACATTCTATGTGAATTTCATAGTCTGTGTGTGCATGCGTGCGTGCGTACGTGCATGCATGTGTGGTGGGCTGGGTCTCCCCTTCTCCTGCCATCCCTTGGGATTCTGAGGCAGGCGTCTGGAGGGAGAGCCTGGCCTTGGGCAAAACTTCCTCAAGAGCTTTTCACCCGCACCCTGTTGGGAACTATTCTAGAAACGTTCTTCGAAGGCTTTCCTGCACATGTTTTTTGAGTGGAACTTTCTCCCACGGAGGGAACAGTTTGAAAAGGCAAACCCACAGAGCTGTGTGAGTTCTGGCGTACTTAGAGCTTGTTCCTTTCACCCTCCTAAAAGCCGGGCTGCCTATTCTCCCAGTTTGTCTGAGATGATACGCTTTTTACTGGTCCTGTGGCTTAGTCTCTGGCATGGAGCTAGTTAGATGAGGCTGGCTTGGGACTCTACAATTGATTAAAATCCTGGTGGCTTTTACAGTGTCACCTCAGACTCCCCTGGTGGTGAAGGGAGAAATCCTTAGGGTGAAGCATTCCGCTTTAATAAGAGAATAGCCATTGTGCCTTGAGAAACAATAAGGAAGGGTACACATTTTCCCTCCAACGGGGAGGAATGAGGAGTTAGTTCCACAGAAGTAAGCCGGACTGAACTCCTTAAGTACCATGTTGAGGAATACCCTTTGATGGACATAGTTCTTAATACATCTCTACTCTGTCTTTAAGGAATAGTATTAGGTAGGCATAATGTATTTCTTGATCCAAATAATATCAATATTTGTTTTCATTCTATGTTGTATTATCTCATAGATTTATAAGGTTATATCAGGCTCTCTGCCCCTACATAGATACCCCCCCCCCATAGATATATATTTTTTAATGTACATTTTTATTGATTTCAGAGAGGAAGGGAGAGGGAGAGATCCAAACATCGATGAGAATCATTGATTGGCTGCCTCCCGCATGCCCCCCAACTGGGGATGGAGCCTGCAACCTGGGAATCTGCCCTGACTGGGAAGTGAATCATGACCTCTCCTACATCATAGGTCTATGCTCAACCACTGAGCCACACTGGTCGGGACCCCCTCCCATGTTCAAAACTAGTTTTTCTTTTTCTCGTCACCCTGTCTATTGTGGTTTTTGTTAGTTTGCTGCCGCGGTGCGCTTGCTGCTGGTAGCACTACTCCTTCAGCTGTTGTACCGTGGGCGGCGGGGGATGGTAGCATCATGTGTGAAACAGGTTAAGTCGGATTTGAATGAGGGCATGGAGTGAGTGACTCTCCCAAAGTCAAAGGCAGTTTACGGAAGGCTTCTGTTTAGTTTTCTTAGAGAACTTCCTGGTCCTTGCCTGCATCTCATTTCCACCCCCATCCCTGTGTCGTTCTGGCTTCATGATGAGATGACTCGGGCGTGGTCCCCATACGTGGTTGAGCCTCACTAGACCCAATGGGGAAGGTGGGCAGGCCTGTGATTGACAGGTGGAAGTGAGGCCCATGCTTCCATGGCTTCTCATGGCTGAACTGGACTCAGCTCCAGGCCAGACACCGGCCCCTGCCCTGCATAGCTCCCCCTCTCCCCCGCCGTCCCCAACACCCACATTGCCAACGTGAGATGTGTTGTTAGGACCAGTGGATAATGAGGCCTTTGAGTTTCTTTTAGTTTTATTTATTAACGATCATTCACACTGCGTCTTTGTTAATGGGTTGGGGGGAGGGAAGGAGGGAGTGAGTTCTAACTTCTCCCCTGCACCCTTCCCCATCACCCCCCTTCTTTCATCCCCTTCCCAAAAGAAAACCTTCCTCGCTTTTACCGAGGCGGCTTTAAGGCTCTCTCTCCCCCTCCTCCCCTTTAGCTAAAGAATTTGTGGGCCTTGCCGAAGCCGGTTTGGCTCAGTGGATAGAGCATCGGTCTGCGGACTGAAGGGTCCCGGGTTTGATTCCGGTCAAGGGCATGTACCTTGGTTGTGGGCACATCCCTGGTGGGGGATGTGCAGGGGGCAGCTGATCGATGTTTATCTCTCATTGATGTTTCTGGCTGTCTATCTCTCTCTCCCTTCCTCTCTGTAAGAAATCAATTAAAAAAAAAAAAAATATATATATATATATATATATATATATATAAAGAATTTGTGGGCCTGGAGCTGGGAAAGGCCCAGACAGGTGGCCTTGGCGAACCAGCTGTTCTGGGCAGGAGGGTAGAGTGTGGCCAGTGAGGTCCACTTCACACAGAGCCAGAGCCCTCACGGGGTGGCTTTCTCCCTGGAGCCCCCACTGGCAGAACCTTGGGGATCCCACCTAGGGTGAAGCTGGTGGGCTTGGGGGTGAGCAAACCAGGATGCCAACCTCAAGAGCAGGTGCCTGGGAGGGTCGGAGACCTGGGGGCCCAGCGCTGGCTGGCGCTGAGCTTCCTCCCAACCACGTGGGCGGGAACCAGATGGGGCCGTGACAGCTCCGCCTGGTGCTGCCCGGAGTGGGGGACAGAAGGGTCTCCAGAGCCCATCGGATGGGACGCGTGTTTGGGCTCAGATGTTTCTGTGGGTGTCAAGCTGCCAGGCCCTGGGGGTCCCCGAGGCCCTCCCTGCGCTCCTGCCCGGCGGACGTGGCATGCCCTGAGTGTGTGTGATCTGCCCAGTGTCGGGCGGGTCACCCCGGGTTCCCAGGGCTGGGATCGGACCCCTCCTCGGAGCTCTGCCAGTTGTGGGCCTGGTGCCGACGGGAGTGCCGAGCGGGGAATAGAGTGTGTGGGGATGAAAAGCCGAACTGAATCGCTTTCAGCCCATTGTTCGTCCGGGGAAGCTTAGAGGGGATAAGAGGGTAGCAGCCCTTTGAAATCCCCTTGAACGCGTGAATAGGAGCGCCCATAAAGCATGAAAAGGCGCAGGCTGCTTCTCCTGGGCACAATGGCCAGCCGGGCGGGGGGGGGGGGGGGGCGGCTGCCCTGCTGGGAGCTGGGAGGGGGGCTGCGACGGTGGAGGGGTCGCGGGGGTCACGGGCGGCCTTCAATAGACTCCAGGAGGTTGAGTTCATTAGACACAAGCCCGGGGAGCCATCGTCTCATTCGCGCCAGGACCAGTGAGGTCCGGGCCCTTCGCAGGGGGCGGGTGGGAGCGGGGCAGGGCCAGCCGCACTGGCCGTTCCTGGGCAGTGGGGCCTGCAGGGCGGTACAGGTACAGGAACCACGCTGGCTCTGTTTTCCGCCACGGAAAACGCCCCGGTTCAGGTGGCCTCTGCGAAGGCCGGTGTATGAGCCTCTTACTCCGAAACCCTCATTCTCGGAAGAAACGGCTTTACATTTTTTTCTCTTTGTTTTTTTCTTTTTGAAAGTTAGCTGCCCGATTCCCAGCCAAGCCCTAAGCGCCCGTCTTTGGCGTATGGGAGACTGGAGGGCCTGCACTCCTGGGCCTCGGGCCTCAGAGGAGGAAGCAGAGGCCAAGCTCAGCACAGCAGGTCCTCCACCCCCCCCCCCCCCCAGGCGTGCCCCGGGTCAGGGGGCAGGCATTGCAGGGGCCACAGGAAACAGCTTGGCCCAAAGGCCGCGCCCGCCTAGGGGTCCCCAGATCCGTGCACGCCGCTTCCCCGCGCCCCACTTGGAGGGCGGTGCGGGCGACTTATTTATTTTTATTTCCCTGTATCTTATTTATGGGTTTACTTTGGACACTAGTGAAAGCCTCCGTGTGAACTTCAAACATCACCTTATCTTAAAAGCCGGGCCTTTGGTGTTGGCTGTGATCAGAGGCCTCTGAGCGGCTGCCAAACGGGCCGAGCTGGACGCCCGCGTGCAGGGGCCGCTCTTTCAAAGTCCCCGGCGGACGGCGTCCAGGTTAGGCCGGGCCCCGCCGCCGAGCCCAAGGGCCAGGCTAATTGGCCCGGTTCTAATGGCAGCGAAGTGGAGGCCGCACTTGGAGCCGGTGCCCCGGGAGCAGCTGGCCCTTCCGGCCGCAGCTCGTTAGCTCACACGTTGGTAGTGAAGGGAGGCCGTGCCGTGCGGGGCGGGGCGGGGCTCGGCCGCAGTTCTGAGCGGCCAGGGCGCGGATCACAGACCTTAGAGCCTGAATACAGGGGGAGAGGCCCCTTCTGGAGGGGTTGGGTGCTGGTGGTGGTGGTGGTGGGGATGGAATGGGGGTGCTGATGTGTTTGCGTGCACACGCATGTGCGTGCATGCTGGTTTGTTTGTTGGTTGGTTGAGGCCGTGCTTAAAAACCATCATTTGGCCAAACTGGTCTAGCTCAGTGGATAGAGCGTCAGCCTGCCGGGTCCCGGGTTCAATTCCAATCAGGGGCATATACATCGGTTGCGAGCACATCCCCGGTAGGGGGTGTGCAAGAGGCAGCTGGTGGATGTTTCTCTCTCATCAGTGTTTCTAACTCGCTTTCCTTCTCCCTTCCTCTCTGTAAAAAAAATCAATAAAATATATATAAACATCAAAACAAAAAAATATATATATATAAAAAAACCATCATTTGAGCATTTGTTCCTCTGGCCTTCAGATGAGCCAGTGAACTGCTTCCTCTCGTCCCCGTGCTTATGCTCCCCAATTCTCTCTCCTTTCTACCTCATGTGGGAAAAGTCAGAGGTCAAAGAGCCCGCCACTGATTTCCGTCCGGAAGGGAAGGAGAAAAGACTAGAGGGCAGTCTTGGGGGCGGGGGCGGGTCACAGTGGGGTCATGGGATGCTTGTCTCCTGGTCCCCCGAGTTTGTCAGGAAGAGGTCTAACGCAGAGACATCCACCCTCTTAAGGCCCAGAAGGGTTGCTGCTGGCCTTGCAGCCCTGAGGCAGCAGGAGGTGGTTAGGCCAGCATGAACCCCACTCTGTGGGCCTGCCACTACCCACTGCTCCCCACTCCTCTTCCCCCACAGAGATTTAGGTTAGAGACCAGGAGATTCACCTGGCATGCCCTCTAGCCAGTGAGTATCACGTGGCGGGAAAGGACTTTCCAGAACATTCACCAGGTCTCCCACTGGTCCCTCCAGCATGCTAGGGGACCCCATGGGGCTTAGGAAATGCACCCCCATGTTCAGTCAGGAGCTTTGCTTCCCCAGCCGCGGAAGGTCCAGGTGGGGGCACCCCTGTTCTGAGCCCACAGCGTCTCGGGCTCTGACCCCCGGACTGCCCGCTGCTGACCGCTGACCGTGACGCTGGTCACGCACATGTGGTGGACGTGGGTTTTGTGAGGACCGAGTTGGGTTCTGTTAGGAACGTCGGGCCCCCAGTAGGAACTCAGTGTGTGGGGGCCAGCAGCCTTGGGTTGGAACCCATCACCTGGCTTCCTACTCACTCGGGTATGCTCTGGAGAGCCCGGACTCCTCCAGTCCCAAGGTGAAAACGTCGAGTTTCAGCCCATAAACGCCAGGTGGGCCTCTCAGCTTCCGGCCTTGGAACCTGTATCCTCCCCGGCCTCATGAGCAGGAGACTGTCCGGGCGACCTGCCCTGCCCTGCCCTGCCCGTGGCTGCCGCTTCCCTTGGCCTTGGCTGGCCTCTGGGACAGGACTCGGTGTGTTTAAGGCCGTACTTAAGTCCCGACCTCCTGCCCTGCACCCTCAGGTGCTTCTCAGCCAAGGTCCGGCTATCAGATCGCCGATCTGCTGTGACCCGTATCGCCCGCCGGGCCCTGTCCAGCCTCGGTCAGCAGACTTCCGGAAAACGCAGCCGCTGGAATCCTAGGGCCCCGCTGATAAAGGGCCAGAGGTCAGCCCCCGGCTCGCTCCCGCGTCCCTTTAGGCGCTGCTGGTTTCACCCGCGGCTGCCGAACCAGCCTGCCTCCCGTGAATAAGACACCAGGGAGCGGGAACAGCCAGACACCTTGTTTCAATATCAACAGCCTCCAAGGACGATTCAGGAGGGAGCGGTGTGAGCATGAGGCTCTCGCCTCAGGAAGGGCCCTGCTGGGAAGATCGTACCCCCCTGACCATTCAGCTGCTCTTGAGAATGAAATTCTTTTCTAAAAAGTCACGGACACGCCAAAACCGGTTTGGCTCAGTGGATAGAGCATCGTTCTGAGGACTGAAGGGTCGCAGGTTCGATTCCGGTCAAGGGCATGTACCTTAGTTGCGGGCACATCCCCAGTGGGGGGTGTGCAAGTAGCAGCTGATCGATGACTCTCTCTCATCGATGTTTCTAGCTCTCTATCTCTCTCCCTTTCTCTCTGTGCAAAATCAATAAAATATGTTTTTAAAAAATAACTAAATAAAATTAAAATAAATAAAAAGTCATGGCCACTCCAGGCGGTGTTTCTGGGGAGGACTAGCTGGGGTACCGAGTGCCGGCGCTTCTCACCTCCTCCACTGGTGCTTTTCACATACACAAGGAAGGGCGTAGGGGCCCACGCTGCCTTCAGTCGGGTCTTTGCCAGGATTCGGTCCACAAGACACAGCCCCTTGAACCAGCTGCCTGCCCCACCCCACAGTGTCCTCTCCCCGTTTCCTGTCCTGTGTTTCGTCGTAATTACCACCTCTGACACACTATAGGTTTTTTTTTATTTTTTTTATTTTTGCTTAGTGCCTGGGCACTAAAGCTTCCTAGGCCGTCCTCTGCATTTTCCCCTGCTCACATGCCCAGTGCCTAGAACAAGGTTTGGCCCATGGTAGGTACTCCCATACTGGAACGATCTGCACAGAATGCCACAGTAGGCACTTTGTCCCTATGCCCACATGGGTCACGTCTCTGAGACGTTGTTGGCTGGGATGGGAGCGGAGGGAAGGAAACGGCCCGAACTCACCCTGCTGGCGATTTGTACAAGGAAGAGATATGGAAACGCCTTAGGTACTGTGGTCAGCGAACCTCGGCTCAAGAGCCACATGCGGCTCTTTGGCCCCTTGAGTGTGGCTCTTCCGCAAAATATCATGGCCTGGGCGAGTCTCTTTTGAAGAAGTGGCGTTAGAAGAAGTTTAAGTTTAAAAAATGTGGCTCTCAGAAGAAATTTCCATCGTTGTACTGTGGATATTTGGCTCGGTGGACCGATGAGTTTGCCGACCCCTGGCCTAGGAGGTTGAGGTTGGAGACGTACGCACAGCTTCACTCATGCCCCCCGGCGTGGCCCTCTGTGGTCTGGCCCCTCTGCCGGCTGGGTTTTGCCCTGGTACGCGCCCTCAGGCTGGTTTCCTGGTTCAGGGTAGTGTGCTGTGGTGGCAACAGATTGTTGGGGGACCCAAAGGGTCTTGGGATCTCCTGCTTCAGGCACCTGTTAAAATGGGGCGTCTTCACTCCGAGAGAACAGCCTGGGCAATGAGCTTACCACCTTCTTCCCACGTCGGGGATCCTGCACCCGCGAGGAAGGCCTTCCAGAGATGGTTGGTGGGCAGGAGGTTTGGCCCTGGGACGGTGGATTGACTCTCCCGTGGGGACAGCCGTGGCCGGGGGACAGGGGGCACTGGGGAGGTGCGAGGCTCCGACCTTGGTGGGACCTGAGCATCTCGTGAGCCTGCGGGTTCTGTCTTTCCCCTCAGAGATGGAATCCCTCCTTACCGCGTGGGCAGTAAGAAACAGCTCCAGAGAGAAATGCATCGCAGCGTGAAGGCCAATGGCCAAGTGTCTCTACCTCATTTCCCGGTGAGTATAGCCTAGAGGGGGCGGTGACCATGGAGCCAGGGGGTGGGAGGAGGAGGGGCATGGAGGCCGTGGGAGGGGCCGTGCTGGGCCTGCTGGGAACAGGGTGGGAGGGGAGACCAGGCAGGAGTGCTCATGGGGTTCCCTGGGTTGTGATGCTGAGCAGAGGGGAGCTTGACGTGACCTTCCCGAACCCTTCCATCTCCTCCGTTCCTAAAAGAAAATTCTCTGTGAGGAAGAGACCAAGGCAGTTCCTCTGGGAAACCAGGGTGTGAGAGCAGGTCACCCACGCTTCTCCTCGGTCCCTCTGGGATGGGAGCGTCCTGAGGGCAGGGAGTTTTGTCTCTTCTGGTAGCCTCCCTGTGCACAGAAACGAACGGTGCCTGGCGCATAGCAGGCGCTTGTTGATTGATGATTGATTGGATGAATGAGGAGGAGGAGGCTCCAGGAACGTGCTTCCTGTGGGAGGAAAATTTCATCCCTGGGACATTCTTGTGTGGGCTGCGTGGCTCATTCGTTTCCATCGCCCACGTGTCTACTGACATGGCCATTTCTCCTGCTGACCTGAGGCCCCGGAGGGCAGCAATAGCACCGGTCTGTCCCCCCCTCTCCCCCCTCCCGCCGTGGCTCAGCTCCTGCCCTAGGCTCTGCACCCAGTGCGAGCTGCATGAGCGCAGTGCTGGCAGCGAGGGTCGCGAGAGCCGCTTCCTCTTGTGGTTGCGATGAGAGGCCAGCCTGGCGTGAAGGACCCCTCTGCGCCCTCCCTTTTCTTCCCGTGTCTGGAGGGCAGCCCGTAGGTGCCCCTGTACCTTTCAGGGCTGTGCCTCTGGCGATGCTCTGAGATGCAGGTGCAAGGGTGCTGCCCCTGGGGGCGGAGCGGCGGCAGTGCCCAGCTTAGAGCAGCACCTGTGTTGACGAGTCCTTCCCGAGGACCCAGCGGGCCCACAGGTTATGCTGCATTTGGAAAAGGGACCCTTGGAATTGCTACTCCTGAGTTGCATCGGTGCATGGATTGCAGCCGGAGCGGCTCTCTCTGGAACCCTGCACAGTCCGGGGCGGACGGAGCCTTGTCCTAAAATTGGCACATTAAGATTGCTTTCTGGGGACCTCCAGCATCCCCCTCCTCAATGGCACTAACCCCCAAATACAACAGTATTGATGACATAAAAAAAATTTTTTTGGCAGGCCAGGGGTATACGTGTATCGATAAAGAAACCGCCTAACAGCCAGGCATGTCCGTTGGAGGATTTTGTCCTGGGGTGTGCAGGCCAAGTTCCCCAGGAGGCGGTCCCTTCGTGGGGAGGGGAGCCACAGGGAGCCTGCCTGTGTGAGAAGGACCATCTTCTGCAGAGGGGGGCAGCTTTCTGTCCCCGCAGCAGGGTCCGCAGCCAAAGGGTCACCAGGCAAGGCTATAGGGTCATCAGCGGGGGGCATGCCGGCCTGCCCCCGCCGCCCCCCAGAGAAAAGGGCCAAGCGAGAGGGAAATGAGGAAGGAGGCAGGACCACGGGGGGAGGAGGAGGGTGGGCGAGATGACGGGGGGGAGAGAGCCGGGCGGCAGTGGGGGTTCTTGCTGTTTGCTGCTTTTGGCAGGCGATCGCGGTGCCTTTTTATATTCCGCACTTGATTTGGAGATGTTCCCTTTCCCTTGATAGAGCGGCTTCAGGCAGCCAAGCTCAGCAGTGTTCTGCTGCTAGCCCTCAGCAGCTTTCTTCATTTCCCGCACAAAGAGCAGGGCGGGGGCGGGGAGGCAGATCTAGGACAGCGTGGAGACAACACCGCCTCAAAGGTGCGCAGTGTGCGGCCGGGAAATAAATTACCGCCGCTTCTGATCCGGCCGCGTGACGCCCCCTCTCCCTCCCCCGGCCGCCCCCCACCTCCCTTCCAATCTTATTTCTTCTTTCTTTTTTTTTTATTTCCAACTCCCTTTCTGTTTAGACTCCACTTTTTTTTTTTTTTTTTTTTTATTCCTTGAGTCGGTCTCTCCCCTCCCCACCTCCGAGGCTGCCTCCCTCTCTCTCTCTTTTTTTGATGTTTGACAACAGTCTTTGAAGATTGTCGACTTCAGAGTCGCTACTGATGGGCTGGTTGTACTACAGAGAGAACAAGCGGGGCCTCTCGGAGTGCGACCAACTGCTCCTGCCCACGGCAAGCGCCGGCGGGGTCCATGGCGCTCCATGAGGCCGGGCGCCGGCACATAAAGCTCCCCGGCAGCCCGGCCGCGCTGCCTGCACCGGAGCTGCCGAGCGCACCGCCAGCCCGGGCAGCTCTGTCCCTCCGTCCGTCCGGCACGGCCGCCGGCCGGCTAAGCGTGCCCGCTCTCTCCTCCCCGCGCCCCGCAGAGAACCCACCGCCTGCCCAAGGAGATGACCCCCGTGGACCCCGCCGCCTTCGCGGCCGAGCTGATCTCCCGGCTGGAGAAGCTGCAGCTGGAGCTGGCGAGCCGGCACAGCCTGGAGGAGCGGCTGCAGCAGATGCGCGAGGTAGTGCCGGCCCGGCCCCGCCCGCCCGGTCCCCACGCGTGCCAGGCCCCCCCCCTGCTCACCGCCCCCTTCTGCCGCCTCCCCTTCCAGGACGAGGAGAAGGAGGGTCCCGAGCTCGTGCTGGGCCTGCGGGACGGGGCGCCCCCGCAGCACCCCCTCTCCCTCCTGCCCTCCGGCAGCTACGAGGAGGACCCGCAGACCATCCTGGACGACCACCTGTCCCGGGTCCTCAAGACGCCCGGCTGCCAGTCCCCCGGCGTGGGCCGCTCCAGTCCCCGCGCCCGCTCCCCCGACCACCACCACCACCAGCACCAGCCGCCGTACCACCCCCTGCTGCCCCCCGGGGCCAAGCTGCCCCCCGCCGCCGCCGCCTCGCCCGCCGGCTGCCCCCTCCTCGGGGCCAAGGGCTTCGTGACCAAGCAGACCACGAAGCACGTCCACCACCACTACATCCACCACCACGCCGGCCCCAAGACCAAGGAGGAGATGGAGGCCGAGGCCGCCCACAGGGTGCGCTGCTTCTGCCCCGGGGGCCCCGAGTATTACGGCTCCCCCAAGTGCAGGGGCCACCCCAAGGCGCTGGAGCCCGGGCCCGCTGAGCGCTTCGGGTGAGTGTCCGGGAGCCGGCTGTCCCGGGGGTGGGTGAGGTCAGAGGGCAGGGGCATGTTGCTTCCAGGAAGGGAGGAGGGTGCACAGGGTGGGGAGGCTGAGGGAACAGGTGCATCTCATCTCTCCCCACCACCACCACCGTCCCATCTTTGGGGGGGAGGGATGTCCCAGAGAGGTTAGGGGTGTGGTTCTCGGTTCCCCACAGCGGCAGCCGAGGCAGCACCCTGCCCAGGGGAGACAGGGCACAGGCTGTCTGGCAGTGGATGCTGGAGGCCGAGCAAGCCCAGGCCCCCTCGGTAAACACGCCGCCGGCGCCACCCCCAGAGCGGCCGCTGCCGGAGGAACCGTGGGGTCGGCTATTTTTGCCGGCGGCCGGAAACACATGTGACCGTTTGCTCCCGCCGTCGTGATATTAAGCGCTGGCCGGAGCGAACCGCAAAAATGCCATGTTTTTGGCAACGCCCCCTGTCTGTGTTATGGTAGTTACTTTTTTTCTCCTCTCTGAAGGCTGGATAGGGAAGTTGCTCTTGAAGTCACATTTTCCAGTTTTCCTGACCCAGTTTCTCTCTCCTCCTGCTTTCTCTCCCCCCTCCCTCCCTCCCCGCTCAGCGCCCAGAGCACAAAGAAGGCATCCCCCGCGGAGTCCGCCCGGGGCCCCCCCGCCGAGCGCCCCGGCCGCCACCACCTGTGGGGGGGCGGCGGCGGCGGCGGGCACTCCCGAGCCACTGCCCGCGCCCACCTGTTCGCCCAGGACCCCGCCATGCCGCCCCTGACGCCTCCCAACACGCTGGCGCAGCTGGAGGAGGCCTGCCGCCGGCTGGCCGAGGTGTCCAAGCCCCCGAAGCAGCGGTGAGTGGGCGCGGTGTCCCAGGGAGCGGGCGTTGGGGTGGAGGGCGGGCCTGGGGCTAAGGGAAGGGCCCTTTTCTGGCCGCGTCACACTGTCCCCTCCAGCTTCATCCGTCCCGGAGAGCTAGTCGGGATCTGGGAGGCACGTCGTGCGGTCATTCCTCCAAACCCCACTCCTTACCGATGCCCGGACCGTGTAAGCCTGGTCCGCTGAGCAGACGCGGAGCCGTGACGGAGCCCATGGGGACTGTGGGGCCCGCCGCCCTCTGCCTGGCTCGCAGGGTCCGCCCCGGGTCCCCCCGAGGGCTCAGGAGGGCCATTCCCAAGGCCTCTTCCGGGCCAGCTACGGCCACTGCGGTCACCAGGCTCCGGTGGGTCTCCGTGGCTGGGAGGCAGGTCTGCGTCTGCTCGCAAGGCCACAGACGGGCAAGGCCACAGCCGGGCGTTTCCTGTCCGCTCCCCGTCGGCCCTGGGGACGCAGGCTTCCCTCTGACCCCTTTGCCCCGGTGTGTCCCCAGGTGCTGCGTGGCCAGCCAGCAGAGGGACAGGAGCCACGTGGCCACAGGCCAGACGGGAGCCACGCCCTTCTCCGCCCCAGGCCTGGCCGCAGAAGAGTGAGTGTCTGTGCCCAGACCACCCTGGGGTCGGTCGGTTTACGTTTCAGGGGTGTTGACGATCGGCATTGGGCGATTTTCGAGAACCTTTTTTTTACCATGTAACCGCCCCGATGTTAACATGTTAGTGACGAGGAACAGGGAACACGGCTGTTGCCGTACGTTAGGATCCTGAGAAGTCTGCCTGGACTGAGCCACGCACGGGGGCGTGGGCACCAGGGTTCCTCCACACGCTGGGGCCCGGCTCACACTGACCGGAGGCTGAGGCCTGACGCCTCATCAGAAGGTCCCCAAACCCGGATGTGAGCACGCGGGGGTCCTCTGGGCCACACGGAGCGGGAAGGCGGCCGGCCACCGCGGCGGAGGTGGAGGGAGGGCGGCCTGCGTGGTTTTGCTCGGGGCAAACAGCATCTCCCCTGGTGGCACCGCGAGTCCCTTTGTCAGCGTGCCCTCTCCCCACGCGGACGGAGAGGGCTGACAGGGTGGCGCGTGTGGAAGGATCGCTGCTGGAGAGCGCTGACCTGGTCTAAATAATTAAAGTGGTTTTTTCTCAGCTGCCTCCTCACGAGCAGTGAGCCGTGTTTGAAGTTCCGAGCAAGCCACCGGCCTGCGCCCTTTTGCGTTCATTGGTTGACCTTCGTCCACCAGCGGTTCTGGCCCGAGCTTGTTTTTTTGTTTTTGTTCTCAAGCCACTCTACAAAAACCCCAAATAAACGGAGGGGGGTCGACATGACTGTGGGCTCACCCCCCCACACACATACATACACGGGGGGCTCCAGCCGTGCCATCGGGGGGGTGCACGGAGTTTGTCTCCAGGGCGCCCTGAGTAGGAGTGTCCTCGGGGCTCTGTGATAGGAGGCCCCCCATGGGTGCTGACCGGAGAGAGACTGCTCTGTCCCCTTGTTTAGTAGCAGGAAGAGAAACAGGAGCAATTTGTGCAACCGAGAGGGACTTGTCCCTGCTTGTGCCCCACACGGTGCCTGGGGTGGACTGCACTCACCAGAGGCTGCCAGCCTCTGACATGGGGATCCCTTTACCTCTGGAGCCAGTGTTTGGAGAGAGAGAGAGAGAGAGAGAGAGAGAGAGTGTGTGTGTGTGTGTGTGTGTGTGTGTGTTTGCGTGCCGCGTGTCCACTCGCTGCCTGCAGAGGCTGAGCTTGCTGTGTTGCATCTTCCTTTCAGCCACAAAGAGCCAAAGAAGCCAGCGGGGGTCCTTGCGCTCCAGGCCAGCGAGCTGGTCCTCACGTACTTCTTCTGTGGGGAAGAAATCCCGTACAGGAGGATGCTGAAGGCGCAGAGCCTGACCCTGGGCCACTTTAAAGAGCAGCTCAGCAAAAAGGGGAACTATAGGTAAGAGTCCCTGGCTTCTCTCCGCTCAGAGCCGAGAGCCGAGTGACTGCGCCGACCTGGCCAGCCCTGGGAGGGGCCACGGAAATGGGAGTCTGGGGAGGCCGTGGAGGGGGCTGCCACCTGCTGTTCCCACTTTCTCGCTCCCTCGCTCCCCCCTCGCTCCCTCACCACTCTCAGAAATACAGCAGCAGTGGGGAGGGCTTGCCCACCAGGTGAGCAGGATGCTGAGGAGGACGGAGGCAGGAGGAGAGCTGGGCTGGGACCACCTTACGGGACTCACCTGGAAGGCAGAGAGGTGTGAGGGGGGGAGGGGGAATAGAGAGAAAGGGACACACAGCCCCATTAGGGGACCAGAAGATGGCTGTCCTGGGGTGGGTGTGGAGTGGCCCGCACACTGCAGGCCTGGGGAAGGGCGGAGGCCATGGCCTGGCAGGGCAGGCAGTGTTCCTCTTCCTCACCTTTCCTGCCTCAAGAGCTGCCTTCCTCCATCTTGAGAGTCACGTGAAGCAGGGTGCTGTTCTGTCATAACAGAGGGGGGCCAGGCCGGGCCCGTGGGGGTCCGTGGTTGGGCGTCCACCTATGAACCAGGAAGTCATGGTTTGATTCCCGTCAGGACACGTGCTCGGGTTATAGGCTCCATCCCCAGCGTGGGGCGTGCAGGAGGCAGCCGACCGATGATTCCCTGTCGTCATTGATGTTTCTCTTTCTCTCCCTTCTTCCCTAAAATCAATAAAAATATTTTTAAAAAACAGATGGGGTAGGCAGGACCTGTGGGTGGGCACCGGGTGGACAGGGGTCCTAGGAAGGGAACTGGCCCACCTTCTGGGCTTCCTTTCCCGCTCTGCACCATGGAGATGCCCACCCAGGCCTGCGAGGGACCCAGGCCGGATTAGAGCGGAGGGCCCATTTCCTGTCCCTCCTCCCCTTACCTGGCGACAGGTAGTGACTGCACTGTAACTCACCCAGCCCCCTTGCCCTCCCCCGTGGCCTTCCTCCCGGGCTGTGTGGAGGCCTGGGACGAGGGGCAGGCAGGGACGTACCACCTGCCTGGTGGGCACGGGCTCCTGGGCCCCGGGGACTCCACCTCCAGGGCCCCAGCACCCGTGACTTCAATATTTTTATTGATTTTAGGGAAGAAGGGAGAGAGAGAGAAATATCAATGACAAGAGAGAATCATTGATCGGCTGCCTCCTGCCACCAGGAGCAGCCACCTCCACCAGCCGCTGGTCTGGGCAGGGGCGGAGGGGTGGCTGGGGCGGAGGAAGGGGTGGGGTTCGGGTGGCTGAGGAGCGGGGTGCAGAGCGGCTTCAGGCCTTCCGACGACGCACCTGGGCTGAGACCGGCTGACCCCGTCAGAGGCTTGAGTGGGGGTCGGGGGGGGGGGGCTGGCCGCCGCCGCCCTTTGATCGGGACGGACACCAGGTGAAACTCACCCCACGAGGGCGCCTCCAGGGACCCGTTTTGATCTCGGCTTTGGCTCGGCCGGGCCCGGGGGACCTGCCGGTAACCTTCGGGGACAGGGGCCGAGCGGAGCGGCTGCAGGGAGGCTGGGCGCAGCCGCTCCGGCCACATCTGGCTCTGATTTCTCTCTCTCTCCCCGGAGCACTTAATAAGCCGGCTTTGAAGCCGCCGGCCTCCCCTTTAATGCACACAGCCTCGCACAGGCCGCGCTCACATTCCTGACTGATTGGATCAGCCTGTGGCCAGCCCCTCCCGCTCCTTATCGCTCCGCTGGCCTCCTGGCCGGAGCGGGCTCCCCCTCCTCCGGGGTCGTGGGGGCACAGGGTGCCATGCTTTCCCCCCCCCAATAAAGGTGATGCTCCAACATTCACCACCCCCCCCCCCCGCACCCCCACAGGAAAAGGCCCGGGGAGCGGGGATGGGCCGCGTTGAGCAATCGCCGTGGCAGAGGTTCAGGAGGAGAGCGGCCCCTCGCGGGTGCCAGGCGCGATTGGTGCCAGATGTCAGAGGAAAGCGGCGTTGCCACCTAGAGTGCATTGCCCTAGAAAAGCCCGCGGCTCCGGGGAGGGCAGGGCCGAGAGCACCTTTGAAGTTGGGGGGGGGGGGGGGCGGGGGCGGGGGAGCGTGGCCTCTCTCCGTCCTGGAAGAGGGTGCAATTGTGCGAAAGGTCGTGGCGTGTTTGCCGGGAGAGCCGGCCTGGGGAACCGGGGGGCCGGCGCGGGGTGACATCGGCACCGGAGCCGCTTCCCGCCTGAGTGTCCTGTGCCCGGGGCCCCTCCCGCTCGCTCACCCCTTCCTCCCGGCCCCCCCCCCCCGGCCCCCCCACAGGCCATGCTCTCACCGCGGGCCCGAGCGCGCTTCAGCCGGGCCCGGAACGCGGCAAACAAAGGGCCTTGACTAAACCCAGCTGTCTGACTTGACTCAGTCTTATCTCCCAGGAAAGTATTTGGCTCGCCTTCATTAAAGAAGAAAAAAAAAAAGCATAGCACACATCAAGGGGAACTGATTTTAAGAGCAAGAACAGAATACAGCCATAACCCTGAGACCCAACTGGGTTTTACATTTTATTTTATTTTTAAAAAAATATATTTTATTGATTTTTAACAGAGAGAGAAAGGGAGAAAGATAGAGAGCTAGAAACGTCGATGAGAGAGAAACGTCGACCAGCTGCCTCCTGCACACCCCCTACCGGGGATGTGCCCGCAACCAATGCACATGCCCTTGACCGGAATCGAACCTGGGACCCTTCAGTCCACAGACCGATGCTCTACCACTGAGCCAAACCGGCTTCGGCACAGCTGGGTTTTTTAGACAGGCCCCCGGCCCTCCCCCCAGCCCGGGACTCGGGGTGTTGGATCCAATCGAGGGGGGGCCCTCGCTGGGGACGGGGAAGGAAGGGGACTCGGAGAGGCCGGCTGCCCGGAGAGCCTGCTCATTTGAGTCCATACAGTTAACAGCCTTCGGAGGGAAAGGGCCGGGACGGGATCAAGGAAACCTCTAATCATTGGGCGTAATGGGAGGGCACTTCGTGTTTGACCCTGGCGGGGGGGGGGGGGAGGGGGGGCTGCCCCAGAGACCAGCCGGTGGAGTTGGCAGCCGGGTGCTGGCCGGGGAAGATCAGGAGGAAGTCGGCCACGTCGGGGTGGCTGGTCTGGGGTCTCTAAGACACCCCTCTCGGCTGCAGTGGCTTTACCTTCCTTCCCCCGCACCCCCCTCCCCCCAATAAAAAAGGAGACAAACGGCTGCGCTGGGCAAGGCGCTCTCCACAGCGGGAGTGGTGGTGACGCAGCAGCCTGGGCGGAGGGCCGCAGCCTCCGAGCTGTTGGCAGGGCAGCCTGTGCCGCCTGTGCCCTGGGCTCGGGGGCCCCGGGTCCCCTCGGCCAGGTAAGGGCCGAGGTCTGCCTTCAGGCCCGCTGCCGCCCAGTCCTTGCGTGTGCCTTAGCATCGCCCACGCTTCTTTGCAAGCGGGAAATGCACTTTCACCGAGATGCTTTTTTTTATTTTATCTTTTTAAGGTATTACTTCAAAAAGGCCAGCGACGAGTTTGCGTGCGGCGCCGTGTTCGAGGAGGTCTGGGACGACGAGACGGTGCTGCCCATGTACGAGGGCCGGATCCTGGGCAAGGTGGAGCGGATCGACTGAGCGGCCCCCGCGGCCTGGGACCGAGCCACCGCCGAGCAACACAGAGAAGGCATTAACAAGAAAAGAAAGAGAAAAACAAAAGCGATGAAGACAGAGTCTAGGGAAGAGTTGGCGGCCGGGCCTTGGGCGGGTGGGGGGAGGGTGGCTTTTCGTCCCTTCACGCGCTGGGTACTGAGATACGAGAAGCCTGAACTATTTATTGAAACCATGACCACTCCTGGCCGTCGATGATGCCCACGGCGTCGGAGAGACGGCCGTCCGTCCGTCCCCTCTGACTTCCTAGGGGCCCGAGGCCCGTGAACTGAGAGGGACTGTGTACAGCTTCCCCGAACCGGACCCCTTTCCGATATTTATTGAACACGTGACTGTCCCTGGCCCCGGTTTACGGATATGCTGCTGACGCCACGGGAGGGGGCGGCGGGAGGTTTTCGGGGTTCTGAGCGCGGGGCGCAGGCACGGCGTCCTCGCCCACAGAGGGGTCGCGCTCCGCCCTGCATTTTCTCCGAGTGAAGGTGGCCGTGTCTCGGGGTGCCCTGGCGGACGTGCAGAAATCGGTGCATTTTTTTTCTCTTTCTTTTCTGTGCTGCTGTATGTTGTCAAAAAGGGTGTTGAGGTTTGACTTGACGTGGCCACATCACCGCCACGTGGGGTCGCCTTGTTGGATGTTCATTGCTGAGCACAGCTGTTTCTTTCTCCTCATTTTTTTATTGGGGGGAGGGAGGCTGGGAAGGGCAAAGCAGGCCTCCTGGGGGCCCCCCAAGTCATCCCACAACACCCCGTGGCTCCCCACCAGGGCCCAGTGCTCAGTGCCCGAGGCCCGTAGAACCCCGAGGTTCAACGTGCATTCATTGGAGTCAATCCTTCTAGCACCCTCCCCTCTGCCCCTCCCCCTTCCCCTTTTTTTACTCTGGGCCACAGCCATTCTGGAAAGCACCTCCCCCACCCCGCCCCGCACAGGAGCGAAAAGCTATGGGAAGACCTAGCAGCACCTTCGTCTCGCGCCCCCCCCCCCCCGGGCTTTTGTATTAAGTTAATCTGTGCATTCTGTCTGCCCGTTGCCTGTACTATACGTCTGTATATACCGTCCGGCGAAGGAGTATTAATAATCCACTATCTCTAGTGCTTGACTCGGAATCAGTACAGTACCTGTACCTGCACGGTGTCCCCATCCGTGTGTCGCCCTATATTGAGGGCTCGAGCTTTCCCTTGTTTTTTGAAAGGGGTTTATGTATAAATAATATTTTATGCCTTTTTATTACAAGTCTTGTACTCCAATGACTTTTTTGCCATGGCATTTTTGTTCTACTTATACTGTAAATTATGCATTATAAAAGAGTTCATTTAAGGAGAATTACTTGGTACAATAATTATTGTAATTAAAAGAGATGTAGCCTTTATTAAAGTTCTATATTTTTCAAAAAAAAACAAAAAAAAACAAAAACGCTGGCCTCCTCTTGGAATCCCCGGGGCCGGGGCGGGGGCGGGGCAGAGGCAGCCTGTGTGTGTGTGTGTGTGTGTGTGTGTGTGTGTGTGTGTGTGTGTGAGCACCTGCCTGGTCCCACCTGGACTCAGGACAACATCCCTTCGCCTGGGAGCCTCCTGAGGACGCCTGTGGGTCAGACCGCCTTCCATCTGGTCTGCCCGCCCGCCCTCCAGGGAGGTGTGCAGGCAGGCAGGTGAGTGCAGTGAGCAGGGCTGACGGGTTTCAGTTGGGATCTGGGAGGTGAGGAGCCTCAGGAAACGGGTGTCAATCTGGAAAGTCCCGAGGGACCCCTGAACCTGAGCCCGGTGCGGGGCCGAGCTGGGAAGGTGGCAGGGGCCCAGGAAGGGGGCACAAGGGCTTTCAGCACCGTCAGTGGACACTTCACTGGCCATGGAGGCTGGCGGGCAGTTAGCTCAGCAAAGACAAGCACTCGGGGCGCTGGGCTGTGTTCCCATCTGGGGGAGCATGTCGCTTGATTTAGAGTCCGAAGATGAACTGTTCTAATAAAGGGTGTGTGATGACAGCGGGGCGGGGTTGGCTTGCCCCTGCCGTGAGCAAGCCTGAGGCTGGCAGGGTCGTCATGCTGGTCCTGGCTGTGGGGGGGTAGGGAGTGGCGACGCCCGCCCGCCCTCAGTGGCAGAGCCCTGGCCTCAGGCACGGCTGCTGGGCGAGTAGGTGGGTGAGAGTATGTGGGAGCCTTGACCTCGGCCTCCAGGAGGCAGCTTGCGCCCCCTCCCCTTCTAGCTGGGACCGGGGGGGGGGGGGGGGGGGGGGGGAGGCCTCACCGCAGGGGTCCCTGAACCCACTTCCAGAACTGGAAGGCTCTTTCCAATCCCAGGAAACATGCAGCCTACTGTGCGCACTGGGGGTCGGGGTTACGGTGCTCCCGCCTCTGTAAGCATCACGCCTGTTCCTGTTGTACCTGTCCTGAGGGCCCGGCGCTCTCCGCACTCGTTCACAGCCAGGTGCTCGGGAAGTGGGCTCTGGCCTTGTAGAATCACCTGTGCCTTCCCCAGGGGAGGGCCTCTGCTTTCATTCCATCCTTAAAGGGGTCTGGACTCGAAGGAAAAAGCTAAACCAGCAGTCACCAATCGGTGGTCAGTGGACCACAGGTGGTCGGTGAGGTTTGAAAGGCTAGTGACCACTGAGCTAACCATGCTGGTGCTGTCCGCCCCTCTCTTCCCTGTCCCCAAACCATTTGACACCCCGCTCTTCCCGAACCTGCCCTTCTCCGTCCCCGGTCTCACCTGGGAGCTGTGAGACACGCCGCCCGCCCCACACCCGGGGCCAGGGCCCAGTGCTCGGCCCCTCCAATGGCACCTGGACCATCGGAGTTGCCCCCTCTCGCCCTCCTGGGTCGTCCCCATTCTCAAGCCCAACTGCAATGGGACTCGGCTCCCCAGCCCTCATCGGGCGCCTCCAAGAATTCAGGCCTGTTTTCTGATTGATTGTTGACCAGCGAATCGGGTGAAGTGCGGGCTGGATCCGAGTCCCCCTCAGGCTCTCGGGAGCCAGTTTCCTCCTACAGGAGGCGGGTGCTAAAGGGGCCCTCTCCCAGGCTGCTGGGATGGCCAAGGGAGTGAGGTGGCCTCAGCCCCACAGGGTCTTACCAGCCCCTCCTGTGACCTCCCCTCCCCTCCTGCTCCCACCCCTGGGCGTTGGCCCTGCCTCTCCGGCCCCTGGCACAGAACCAAGGAGGCGGTGGGCAAAGGCAGACAGGCTGTTGGACTGGGAAACAGACTTCCAACTAGAGCTGAGCTTTGGCCTGAAGCATCTGACATTTTTCTGCAAGTCTGTGACCTCCCCCAGGTGACCTTTCCCAGACTTGAAGAAAGTACTTGGAAACATGTGGACTCGCACCTCAGGGGACGTGGGTGGATGGGGCTGGAAGTGCAGGGTGCGGACAAAGGACCCTGTTTTACTCCCTCCTCGCCCAGAACCTGCCGGGCCAGTCAGCCGCCAAAGCGAAGGACGCTGGCAGTGACCCCGAAGCTGAGGTTCTGGTCTATTTGAATCACTCGGCCAGGCTGGCTTTTTCCTTCTTGTTGGTTAGTGGTGGTTCTTTCTCGTTTGTTTGCTTTTTTACCTTTAGTGAATAATTGGGTTGTGCAGAAACTCCCCAAATTACATAGGTGATTCGAAAAGTGATTCCCAGCTTCCTTAGCTGCCATTGTTTCCCTTTAACCCGGGTTTTCTAACAAAATCTGACAAGGGAGGGGCAGCCACTGGGTTCTGTGACTCGTCCCAGGAAGTGGTAGCACACACACACACCCCACAGCCACACACACCCCACAGCCACACACACCCCACAGCCACACACACCCCACAGCCACACACACACCCCACTGCCACACACACACCCCACTCACACACACACCCCACAGCCACCCACACACCCCACTGCCACACACACACCCCACTCACACACACACCCCACTGCCACCCACACCCCACTGCCACCCACACACCCCACTGCCACCCACACACCCCACAGCCACACACACCCCACTGCCACACACACCCCACTGCCACCCACACCCCACAGCCACCCACACACCCCACAGCCACCCACACACCCCACTGCCACACACACACCCCACTGACACACACCCCACTGCCACACACACACCCCACTGCCACACACACACCCCACAGCCACACACACACCCCACAGCCACACACACACCCCACAGCCACACACACACCCACTGCCACACACACACCCCACTGCCACACACACACCCCACAGCCACACACACACCCCACAGCCACACACACCCTACAGCCACCCACACACCCTACAGCCACCCACACACCCCACAGCCACACACACCCCACTCACACACACACCCCACTGCCACCCACACACCCCACTGCCACCCACACCCCACTGCCACCCACACACCCCACAGCCACACACACCCCACTGCCACACACACCCCACTGCCACCCACACCCCACAGCCACCCACACACCCCACTGCCACCCACACACCCCACAGCCACCCACACACCCCACAGCCACCCACACACCCCACTGCCACACACACACCCTACAGCCACCCACACACCCCACTGCCACCCACACACCCCACAGCCACCCACACACCCCACTGCCACCCACACACCCCACTCACACACACACCCCACTGCCACCCACACACCCCACTGCCACCCACACACCCCACTCACACACACACCCCACAGCCACACACACCCCACTGCCACACACACACCCTACAGCCACACACACCCCACTCACACACACACCCCACTGCCACCCACACACCCCACTGCCACCCACACACCCCACTGCCACACACACACACCCCACTGCCACCCACACACCCCACTCACACACACACCCCACAGCCACACACACACCCCACTGCCACACACACACCCTACAGCCACACACACCCCACTGCCACACACACACCCCACTCACACACACACCCCACTGCCACACACACACCCCACTGCCACCCACACACCCCACTGACACACACACACCCCAC